CAGGGTTTCTCTGTGTAGCTTTGTGCCTTTCCTGGAACTCACTTGGTAGCCCAGGCTGGCCTCGAACTCACAGAGATCTGCCTGGCTTTGCCTCCCGAGTGCTGGGATTAAAGGCGTGCGCCACCACCGCCTGGCCTTGAGATATCTTAAAATAAACAGAATTGAGTCAGTTTCCCCCTCCTGGAGAGGGTGAAGTCAGGTGTTTTCAAAAGAACAAAGTCAGGATGTCTGGTGGTGACCGATTAACCACAAGATGCTCTCTGGAGATAACATGACCAGAGATAACATGACCAGACCCCGGAGATGGGTTGTAAAACTCCTGACAGGGCAAACAGATAAGCTGAAATAAGACAAAGTCCAGGCCCCGGGAAAAACTGGACCAATCAAGGATGGACCCGTACTAACCCCCTCCCCTCTAAGAAATTTTGTGGGGTTTGCCTATAAAAACAAACTTCCCCAAGAAAGAGCAACTCCTCCCTGCCTCACTGCGCTGTGGCCAGTGAGTGCTTGAGATGAGTTCCCTGTCGTGACTTGTAATGGAAATAAACCTTGCTTTTGCATTCTGGCACGATAGTCCTCAGTGGTCTCTCTGGGGGTCATGATCTGAGCACAACACTGCCTCCCGAGTGCTGGGATTAAAGCCACCAACGCCCGGCTGTGACTCCTGCCGTTTATAAAATACAGCAGCTAGGGGCAGCTTCGATAGCCAAGAGCACTGTCTGCTGCCCTTAACATTTCTTTGAGACATCAGATGGAGCCTCCGTAGGGCTAGCCTGCCACCTGTCCAACCTCTGCCCTCCGTGCCTGCCTCCTGTGGAAAAATCTCCTAACTAGTATCCTCTTTCCCTGACAGTTAATTGGCTCTGGTTGAGTTTTGGTGTAAAGAGTTGGGAAGGTGGACACACATTGTCTCATGTATTCCAAACTAACCTCAAACTAACTCTGGCTACGGGTGAATTTAAACTCCTGGTTCTCCTGCCCCCACCTCCCAAGTGCTAGGATGTAAATTTTTGGTGTAGGCATACTTTAAGATTAATGAGTGGACTCTGTAATTTATTTCTTCCCTATTTGAGTCAGTAAAACACCAAATAACCCAAGAATAAAAACAATATTGCTACCTGATAGAGAAACTAGAAGGAGGGTCTTAATGCCCACTTGAGACATTTCCATTCACAGTACATCAAAGACGGAAAAGATTTCATCCAAAAACAATTTTAGAATCACACAGCTAATTGCATTGGGTTCAGACTGAACAGAGGTTTTAGCAGAAATGTGAAGTTGGTAAATTTTGAAGAGGAATTTCCTTTTTGTGCTAGTGTGATGAGGGTGGGGACCTATTTGTGATAATACTCAAGTATGCTTTTGTGTTATTGTTTGTTTTTGCCATTTTTTATTGTATCGTATTTAAATTACTTTTTTTTCCCATTTATTTTATATACTAAACACAGTTTCCCCTCCCTCCTCACCTCCTGGTAGCACCCACCCTTCCCATCTACTCCTCTCTCCTCCCACTCCTCCTTCATTCAGAAAGGGCCAGGCCTCTCATGGGCTTGAAAAGCGTGGCACATCAAGTTCAGCTAGGACCAATCTCTTCCCTGTTGTGTGATATTTTGATTGTGTTCTGACAAAGCCTGCTTGGAGTTAGAGGGTGGAGTCAGCCACTAGCTGACCCAAATTAACCATAGAGGTTTGGAGGACTGTAGACAGGAGACAGTAAGTAGTAAGGCAGGGCTGAGACAGGAACTCGACCCTTTTAGAGGAAGGAACAAAACAGGTAGGAGGTGACTGGTGGCAGCTCCCCTGTTTGCTCTTTTAAGTTCTTACCCCAATGTTTGACTCTCAAGTTTTTATTGTTAAAGATTAATTAGATAAATGCTTTATCTGAGGTCCAACTCTTGGGGCACAAATTCACGAGATAGTCACTTGCCTGTGGCTTTGCAGCTGCCCACCCCTGCAGGAGCTACATGTGGGAGCAGCACCTGCTGCTGACTGGCTTTTCCTTTTCTTCCCCAAGCCTTCTGAGTGAGTCTGGGATTTATTCTGTTGCAACCTCTCTACAGCAATCTCCTCAAGCCCCAAACTCCACAGGTGCCTGGGCTCCAAACACCACTGGAGTCAGCCCCTCACCACTGGCCAGCTCTGCCTTCAGGCAGCTCTGTGCTCTCCCTTCCCACCTGTCACACATGCTGCTTTCACACATTCCTGTTTCTGCCTTTCAGACAGCTGACTCTTTGGCTCCTTTTCACGGGAGTTATGGGCTTTCCCTGGGTCCCTCCTTAAGCTGCTGGTACAGGATCAGAAGTAGCTGTCTTCAGCCAGGCTGTGCACTGTCTATGTTCTCCACCCAGATGTACTAGCCTTACACTTCACTGTCATTGTCAGCAGATTTGGTGAGACAACTTGGGATTCTTAAAAGGGGGAATTAGTTGAAAAAAGAAGAAAAAGGGAAAAGAGGTATTCCCACGTTAAAAGTGGGAAACAATATTATGATGGAGGGAGTTAGGTCTCTGTATGATTCTACAATGGATGGTTTGAAAGTGGAACAATTAAATGAGGGGATAATTAACATAGTTGGGACTTAGATAATGTCAATTATAATCATTATCTATTTGGTAATTCTTGTTTTAGTCCTTAAAAAATTGGTTGATATCAGTGTCAAGATACAGGCCTTAGAAAAGGTTACTAAAGGAAATAATGCAATTTTGACTGATAAGTTACAAGCCTTAGAAAAACTTACTGAAACAGACAATGAGATATTTAAATGAAGACAAAGGAATTTGAAGGAGAACCAATCTCACCATTACATTATAAAATTAGAGAGGGGTGGCCCAAGGTGATTAGAAAACCAACCTTATTTTTATGGAGAAGTTAAATGTAATCCTTTAGAAATATTAGATTTGAGGAGATTTAATGAAGATGTTGTTTCATATGGTATGCATTCACCTTATGTGAAGTGGATATTAAACTCATGATCAACTCAGAACAGAATTATCCCTCAAGACTGGAAAGATTTGGCATCAGTGACATTGGAAGCTGGTCCGAAGTTACAATGGCAAATATGGTGGAAAGAGGAAGCTAGGGCCATAGAACAAAATAGGGCTAGAGGTATTAATATTTCCCAAGATCAATTGCTAGTTGAAGGCCAGTATGCATCAAATTGCAAAGGCAATTTGAGTTTGATGACCACACCTTGGTGCTGTGTCAGTTAGCAGCCTTAAATGCTTTGGACAAGGTTAAAGAACCAGAAAAGAGTTCTGAATCATTTACTAAAATTATACAAGGCCCAAAAGAAGCCTTCACTGATTTTTTTTTTGCAAAGATTGACCCCCAGTTGTAAATAGAATAGCATCAGATTCAGAAGTCAGACAACTATTAATTGAATCTTTGGCTTTTGAAAATGCTAATTCTGGATGCAAAAAGGTGATCAGGCCACTAAAGGCAAGATTGGCACCAATAGATGAGTGAATTAGAAATATGGCTGATAATGGATCTCATACCTATGATGCAACTTTAATAGAAGTAAACTCTAAAGGTTTGAAGAAAAGACAAACTGTTAAATGTTTTGGCTGTGGCAAGCAAGGTCATTTCAATGGGGATTGTAGGCAAGGCATTCCTAGAAACAATGTTTTTTTTTTTTTCTGGAGATAACTAAAAAAGAAGGTCTCTCTGCCTTCTGGAGTATGCAGAAGGTGTGACAAAGACTCACATTAGACTAATGAATGCAGATGAACAAGGGAAAATGAAGCAGTTTTTTACTTATTATAGCATAAAGCATCTTACAGGTATACCACACAAACCTACAAAACAAACAGTTATAGAAAGATCTAATGATACATTTAAAAATGTGCTTATTAAGCAGAAAGGGGTAACAGAGACTAGCTCTAGAGATAGATTGCACAATGCTTTATTAACTTTAAATTTTCTAAATGCTAATAAGAAAGGAATGGCAGCTGCGGAGAGACATTGGATAATAGAAAAAAACTGCTGAATTAAATCAGTCTGTATACTTTAAAGA